TCACCAGAACCTTCACTGGAGACCACTGATATGAGGTAGGGTCACCAGAACCTTCACTGGAGACCACTGATATGAGGTAGGGTCACCAGAACCTTCACTGGAGACCACTGATATGAGGTAGGGTCACCAGAACCTTCACTGGAGACCACTGATATGAGGTAGGGTCACCAGAACCTTCACTGGAGACCACTGATATGATGTAGGGTCACCAGAACCTTCACCGGAGACCCCTGATATGATGTAGGGTCACCAGATCCTTCACTGGAGACCCCTGATATGATTAGTATATAGAGCGTGTGTTGCTGTTTTGTATATATACTGTGTGCACTCCCCTGTATATAGACGGCAGCTCGGCTGCTGACCATGAATAAAGCTCGTGGCTTTCATTACCTCCAGCACTGCGCCTCTGTGTAATGTAGCTGTTATACGGCCCGGTGTGAGGGGACACGGTGTGAGGGGACACGATGTGATGGGGCACGGTGTGAGAGGGCACGGTGTGAGGGGGCACGGTGTGAGGGGGCACGGTGTGAGGGGACACGTTGTGAGGGGACACGTTGTGAGGGGACACTGTGTGAGGGGGCACGGTGTGAGGGGACACGGTGTGAGGGGGTAACCAGAATAACATTGTCCTATAAAACATCAGCTCTGTTGCTTTATTGGAAGAGTTTATATAAAGTGTATGTACAGTCCGAGCTTTGCGTTAGTGTTAGATGGTCGGGAAGGGTTATGGAATGTCCCCTCGGAAAGATTTCCCTCGATTTCCTAGCAACAGGAAGTGAAAGGAAATCTCCTTCCATTGAAGGGAGCTCTTCTCTGACACAGGTGTCCCCACTGGGAGATCAGCCGTCGTGTCTTGTTCGGGTGACAACTCTGACATTTTGGATTTCCCATCAATTCTCAATGTTCATCAGAACACATAGAGGGATGAATCTGAGAGAATAAGACCCATCCCCCATCCAAAACTAAGACAAAAGTCTTGTCCTAACGTACACCTCCATTGTGAAGACAAGGGTATGGTGGGGAATGTGGTACTTTATACTGGGGGGACCTTATACTGGGGGGGACCTTATACTGGGGGGGACCTTATACTGGGGGGGACCTTATACTGGGGGGGACCTTATACTGGGGGGGACCTTATACTGGGGGGGACCTTATACTGGGGGGGACCTTATACTGGGGGGGACCTTATACTGGGGGGGACCTTATACTGGGGGGGACCTTATACTGGGGGGGACCTTATACTGGGGGGGACCTTATACTGGGGGGGACCTTATACTGGGGGGGACCTTATACTGGGGGGGACCTTATACTGGGGGGGACCTTATACTGGGGGGGACCTTATACTGGGGGGGACCTTATACTGGGGGGGACCTTATACTGGGGGGGACCTTATACTGGGGGGGACCTTATACTGGGGGGGACCTTATACTGGGGGGGACCTTATACTGGGGGGGACCTTATACTGGGGGGGACCTTATACTGGGGGGGACCTTATACTGGGGGGGACCTTATACTGGGGGGGACCTTATACTGGGGGGGACCTTATACTGGGGGGGACCTTATACTGGGGGGGACCTTATACTGGGGGGGACCTTATACTGGGGGGGACCTTATACTGGGGGGGACCTTATACTGGGGGGACCTTATACTGGGGGGACCTTATACTGGGATGGACCTTATACTGGTGGGGGACCTTATACTGGGAGGACCTTATACTGGTGGGGACCTTATACTGGTGGGGACCTTGTGTACAATTACTGGACAGATTCCATTTGTGTGGTTGTGAATGTTTTAAATAAAGTTGGTTCCTATCCACAGAAACGTCCCAGACAAAGATGTTTTATGGACCATTTGAGACCTTTGAAGGACACAGTCCGTGTAAGTTGGCATGGAGTGCTCGGAACCATTGAGCACCGTCACTGTAGCATGCCAAACTGCCTGATCTACCATTCTTTTGCAGCCATGATCCCTACCATACCGCCATGAATGCCAAAGGCTGCTTCCTTGCATGTCGGAGCAGACCCATCACCCCGCATTGTGTGTGCGTGTCATTCAGATGAGGATACAGTCAGTGACTAATATTGTGTGTTTGTGGTACTAATGTCCAGCTCTCCGTGACTTCTCCATCACACGTGACCTCGGCTTCCTTCCATTCCATCATCCCGGATTGCAGAATCTACACAGCTGTGCGTGCCAACGCAGTATTTGTTACCCTCAGGAGGAAGGCGGCTGACCGCTTCCAGCATGTCTGGAAGTACGGCTGTTAGATGCCAGGACATGCCGGGACATAGAGGTCCTCTATAGGTGTAGGGTGCATGATGCATGACCCTACGAGAAGTAATAGCAATGAAAGGGAGACCACTTCCAGTGGCCCAATGTCTCAGGTTCTACAGATCAGCATGAAGTTATAAAACCTGGAGGAATGGGAAGGGTCAGTGTAACCTATAGAGGAGGATAGTCCGCACAGCTTAGAAAACTAACGCAGTCCAACCTCCTCCAGTTTTCATATTCCATCCAAATGAGTCGCATGACACTGGAGGGGCAGACGTATGTAGCTATATCTCGGGGAGTATTACAGTCCAGGAGCTCTCCGTAGGATTGTGGGTTATGATGTGTTTGCTGTAATGTCTTTTCCACCATATTGTAGCTGGAACAGGGACCCACCCCACAGCCATCATTGAACCCAGGCAGCTGACTGTCCAGCAGGGTCAACCGGCAGAGTTCCGCTGCACAGCGTCCGGGAACCCTCCACCGACCGTGGAATGGACAGGTAAATAGATGGAAGCAGAGAATGACCCAAGAACTGTGGTAGTAAGACGACTCGCCAGTAATCCCCATGCCGTGTCTCCCTCAGGTGGACAGAACGGAGGCATCTCCTCTAGAGCAAGCATCCAGGGAGGTGTCCTGAGATTCCCATCCGCCCAGCACTCCGATGAGGGTCAGTACACCTGCACCGTCCGCAACAGTCATGGACACCACATTGCCCGGGCCGATCTGCGAGTACACAGTGAGTAGCGAGGACAACGATGACACAAATGCTTTACTCCACCAGTGTGTGAAATGTGCAGAATTCTTCAATTGTCCCATCTCGGAAGTCTAGTGTTCCCAAACTGATTACGGGTTTGGAGATCATAGCTCTTCTACCAGGCCTTGGTCAGCTGGAGATCACAGCTCTTCTACCAGGCCTTGGTCAGCTGGAGATCATAGCTCTTTTACCAGGCCTTGGTCAGCTGGAGATCACACCTCTTCTACCAGGCCTTAGTCAGCTGGAGATCACAGCTCCTCTACCAGGCCCAGGTCAGCTGGAGATCACAGCTCCTCTACCAGGACTTGGTCAGCTGGAGCTAAGGTCTTCTACCAGGACTCAGTCAGCTGGAGATCACAGCTCTTCTACCAGGCCTTAGTCAGCTGGAGATCACAGCTCTTCTACCAGGCCTTGGTCAGCTGGAGATCACAGCTCTTCTACCAGGCCTTGGTCAGCTGGAGATCACAGCTCTTCTACCAGGCCTTGGTCAGCTGGAGATCACAGCTCTTCTACCAGGCCTTGGTCAGCTGGAGATCACAGCTCTTCTACCAGGCCTTGGTCAGCTGGAGATCACAGCTCTTCTACCAGGCCTTGGTCAGCTGGAGATCACAGCTCTTCTACCAGGCCTTAGTCAGCTGGAGATCACAGCTCTTCTACTAGGCCTTAGTCAGCTGGAGATCACAGATCTTCTACCAGGCCTTAGTCAGCTGGAGATCACAGCTCTTCTACCAGGCCTTGGTCAGCTGGAGATCACAGCTCTTCTACCAGGCCTTAGTCAGCTGGAGATCACAGCTCTTCTACCAGGCCTTGGTCAGCTGGAGATCACAGCTCTTCTACCAGGCCTTAGTCAGCTGGAGATCACAGCTCTTCTACCAGGCCTTGGTCAGCTGGAGATCACAGCTCTTCTACCAGGCCTTAGTCAGCTGGAGATCACAGCTCTTCTACCAGGCCTTGGTCAGCTGGAGATCACAGCTCTTCTACCAGGCCTTGGTCAGCTGGAGATCACAGCTCTTCTACCAGGCCTTGGTCAGCTGGAGATCACAGCTCTTCTACCAGGCCTTGGTCAGCTGGAGATCACAGCTCTTCTACCAGGCCTTGGTCAGCTGGAGATCACAGCTCTTCTACCAGGCCTTGGTCAGCTGGAGATCACAGCTCTTCTACCAGGCCTTGGTCAGCTGGAGATCACAGCTCTTCTACCAGGCCTTGATCAGCTGGAGATCACAGCTCTTCTACCAGGCCTTGGTCAGCTGGAGATCACAGCTCTTCTACCAGGCCTTGGTCAGCTGGAGATCACAGCTCTTCTACCAGGCCTTGATCAGCTGGAGATCACAGCTCTTCTACCAGGCCTTGGTCAGCTGGAGATCACAGCTCTTCTACCAGGCCTTGGTCAGCTGGAGATCACAGCTGTTCTCCCAGGCCTTGATCAGCTGGAGATCACAGCTCTTCTACCAGGCCTTGGTCAGCTGGAGATCACAGCTCTTCTCCCAGTCCTTCTTGGCTTTGCTACATTATATGTGAAACGTTTGTTGCATGAATGTAGTTTGTCGGTATGAGGTGAATATGAGTATAGAGGTTCATCTTGTGTCATTGTGTCCCATGTATCAGTAGGTGGGAATCTTCCAGTTGTCCAGGTGAGCCCAGAACGTACCGAAGTCAGAGAAGGTGACACAGTCCGCCTGTATTGCAGAGCTGGTGGCAGTCCTATGGCGACAATCTCCTGGAGGAAGCAGGGTGGCATTCTACCACCACAGGTAAGTCTGCGAGTTGGTTCCTCCTGATCCTGAATCCTGCCGAAGATTGGCCACTTGCAGATTGTGCAGGTCTATGCAGATCACTCCGTGTAGTGGAGGAGCTATGATAAATATATCCCGGCTGACCAATGATGGAGCTCCTTATCTCCTGCACACTGTGCTCTGCTTTGTCCGAGGTGTCCCCTAGCATGATTTACTAACCCTCCGTACTAAATGCTTGCTTGTTTCAATTGCTCGCCAGGAGCTGAAAAAAGACACTTGGTGAAGCACAACAAAAAAAAAACCCAACCGTGTCCCTGACTCTACCGGGGCAGACGCATCATATTCCGGAGGTAATTCCTGCCGTGACTTCCCTTGTAGAGTGAGAGAAGGATTAGAACTGTGGATATGATTAGCTGGAAGAGTAACGTTGGTATGACTCCATCATGCGGCAGAGCATTCCACTCCCATACCTCTCTTCCCATCATGAGTCCCTTCCTATGACGGTGGTAGAATTGTCCTTTCACCATTTGTATGTCCCCTTGAAATAAAAGAAGAACATTTCCCAGGATCTATACATCGACCTTTATATTCATTATATATACATTCTCCGATCCTTCCTACAGCATTGTGCCCAGAATGGGGCCCCATATTCTGGATCTGGCCTTGGCAGTGCTTCATACAGGGGCAGTACTCTAAGTGCATCAGATGTATGTGCTTTTGCAGCAGCTGCTTGGCGCTGAGTGCTCGCTGGTATCCAGCATACCCTTCTCCCCAGCCGTAGAGTTATTCTATGGAACCAAGGCTATTATCTGGGCCTTCAAAGTCTTTCTTCAGCCTTCTGTCCTGTCTTCCTAGCTCGACTAACCCATTCCCTCTGGTTTCACTCTCTCTGACTTTCTGTTCCTCCTCCCTACGCCGGCGGCGATCTGTCACTCCGCACAGGCCCTCTCCTCTCTCGGTTTCCTTCACTTTCGAAGCAGCAGCCTGGAAGCCATCCACAGACGGATACAAGAGCTGCAGGTATCTGCGCCCATAATCCCCAGATACACAACGGTCATCATTTTGCATTGAGCTGTTTCCAACGTCCTAGCTCTCAGCAGTCAGGGGCATAACTACAAATCACAGGGCCCCATAGCAAAATGTTGTATGGGGCCCCCGTGATTGCTAGTGGCAGAGCCCCAGCGGAGAGTGACCCCACAGAGCCCGCCATAGACTCTCTATAGTGGGGTCTGAGATCTCTTACCTGTCAGCGCCTCTGTGGTCGCCGGGCCCCGACTCCTGTTCCGTCCCGGAGCCCCGCCTCCTCTGCTATCGACGGGCCCCACCTTCTCTTACATCACTGGTCGCTGGCCAGTGATGTAAGAGGAGGCGGGCCCCGCCTCCTCCATTCCGAACATAGCCCTCGTCTGCCGCAGCGGCTGGCTGTCACTGACACAGCTTCGCAGCGGCTATGAGGGGAAACGCGCCACGGCCGCTGC